ACCGATCTCTGATTCGCCTTTGATATGCCTTTCTATTATATCAATTGATTGTTATTATTTGAGCCATTCCTTTATATGTGTTAAATGTTTTAAATCACGCGGGCATTATGACGCGTTTATGTCCTACAGATTTGTTGATTTCCTAAACTAAGAGAAATAAATGTTAGAAGCGTGGGGTCTGAGTAGTTTAGTGGTAGAACATTCGCCCGGCAAGCGGAAGACCCGGGTTCAATTCCCGGTTTAGCCACTCGCGCCCTGATATTTTTTCTCTATTCCCTTCTTTCTAATAATTCCTATCAGTACATACTGATTCTCCATATGTGAGAACAATGTACTAAAATTTTCGTACACTTTAAGTATCTCGAACCAGAGATCGGTGTACAAATTTAACTGTCTCACGTAGACTAACAAATTAATTTCTTTAAGAAAAATTATAATTTCGCACTAACATCCCGCGACGGCTCTCTATGCCTTTCTATTATATTAATTGATTGTTTTCTAATAAATTTCTTCAGACTACCCAAAAAATTTTCAAATGGAAAAACGCTGAAGTTATCCAATATCTCATTTCTCCTTACTTCATTACCTAAATGAAGTAAATTGTGCACATTGTGAGAGACAAATTGTTTGTCATACAGAATTTGAAAACTTTCCACAAAGTAGACCAGCAATTTTTCAGCGTATTTTATATTTTCGTCATCTACGATTAATGTTAAAGTTATTAGTATTGAAATTGCAACATGTAGTGTTAGAAAATGTTCATATATCGTCTGTTTCAAGACTGATTTCAATACAATAGGTCTTGTATACAATAGAAATTGTCGGAATTCAGTGGCCTTCCAATATTTAATTTCTGATAGACTTCTGGGATTTCTTGAAAACTCTTTTAATATCGAACTTCTTAGTGCAATCAAACCTTGGGAAATGAGATTTATGTTCGTACCACCAATTCGTACTGTCAATGGTCCCTTCATCCATAACAGCAACAATTTTTTTACAACATCTAAGCAGATTATATGCATATAATACAATGCAATAGCTGATATCAGGCCAATATGCGGAATTTGCAGTAGCAATGTCTCTCCTTTATGATATTCTATCAAAAATCTTCATCAGTTCTAAGATTATAAAAAGTCTTAGTATAAGGAAAGCACATAGTCCTCTGTATATATTCTCTCTGGAATAGTGCATTTAGAGCAACTTGAAAATCCATTATGATCTTTTGTGTACAAGATAAATGATCTCGCAGGGGCATCACAAATGATGGTGGAAAGAATAACACTGATACGACGTCCGTCAAAGATAACTCCATTTTGTATAAATATCTTCACTTCCTGAACGAATTTTTCAAGAAAATCATTGGCTGATCTTGGTTTACCTGTACCATAATAAGTACCTATTATGTGAACAGATTTAAAAA